TTTTTTGCTCACAGCAACTCTGTGACATAGATTGGGCTGAGAAAGAATGAGTGGCCCAAAGTCATCCTGTGAGCTTCTGTGGCTGAGGGTGGACTAGAACTATGGCCTCTCCTCTCTTAGTCCAACACCCTTACCGCTACATCACACTGGCTCTCATCGAACAGGAAAGTTGCATGATCACTGAGGCAACCAGTCAGACTATATCATATTTCAAGACTTCAAGATCCTTTCTTTGAGATTTTTTCTTCTCTGTGTATTCCTTCAAGCAGTTGATGAGTTTTCTTCTTCATAGTTACTGACCATTATCTTTTAGAACACTGAAGAGGCTTCAGATCATAACACACAAAAGGACCACCTGTATCCATATCAATATTTCCACCATTTCAGGTCAACTTTGACAAGATTTAGCAAGAGGGAACAGGAAAAGGAACATTTTTTCCATAGCGCTGCCTGTCCAGGAAGGTCATGTCATCCCTTTACCAGTATCTCACTGAGAAAAAATGTTTAATGTTTATTTTAATTGATCTGCTACATGATACGTTTTGCTTCTTGGCCATTTTTAATATTTAAATAGTAGACCCAAGTTGGCTTTATTAAACATTCTCTTCCTCGCCTTCTTTTTGAATTTCTTGTTTAATATTACTACTATATCTCATGCTTAAATTTCACAAGAAGAAGCTTTACTATTGGGAAAAACCCTTTCTCTGAAGCCCTTGAATATGCTGCTAACTTCTGTGCTTAGTACTCACAAAGGCACTTCATCCTGGGACTCTGAATGCAAACATCCACACCAAATTGCATTCCAAGAACGGGGATATCAGGATAGAACAATTCACACAGGTAAGCAAGGGAAGAGAAGAACAATTGCTACAAAGTGTTCACTGCTGTAACTATCTCCGTTTTCCCTTTGTAAATAAGGTGACTTGCCTAAACTGTAATAACAGAAGGAAATGTTTTCACATTCAGAGAGAAAGCACTTATCCCCAAGACTCTGCAGCTGTTGACAACAGCCACCCATTTCACTCATGCACAATTCTGCTGAGAGAGCAACACATGTGTACAACAGCACCCACATTCAACTACTGAAACTTTTTCTTTTTTTTGAGGTCCCAGATTCTTCTCTTACCACTATTGCTGAAAATTGGTGGCACTCTGCAGTCTTCCTCTCTCAAATGAGGAAAATAATTCAGCTTCACCCACTTTGCATCATTGCCCCACTCACTGCAGTCCTTGGGCTCCCCGAAAATGCCATATGCATTCCCTTGGCCCCAAAGGGATACTCGCTTTTGCCTGAAACATGGCTACATTCACAGCCACCAGAGTCTCTTTCCCCGGTGGGGGTTGGAGGCTGAGGTATGAGCACTGGCAAAGTATCAGATGGCATCGCTCACTTTTCTCTCCCCCTACCAACAAATACCAACCATGTATCCAGATTAAAAAAGGATTGCTCCAACCACTGCCTGTGGCTCACTCTTCTCCATTTCCTCTGGTTTCCCACAGACTGTTCTCCAAACACAAGAACCATCTTTAAAATGTTAAACCGTGTTCAAAGCAGGAGAGGAGGAAGATTCCCTTACAAGCAGCAGTTGTGCCCAGAAGGTTGAGAACCTGCATAACAACCTACATTCTATGCCTGTCAGTTATGCAGCAAATGCACCAGATCCTATGCTTGCTCCCCTGCTCTGTGTCTAGGACCCTGCTGGAGAACAACCTCTCACATGTCTTAATCTTTCGGGTTCCACTTCCTCCCAGATGTTGGTCAATAAAGGATTTGCCGTTGTTGCTTGTGTGGGTTTTTGTTTGTTTGTTTGGGTGTTGTTACTAACAACGCAAAAATGGGCATCTCTTTCCCCTACTCTTGCTCATTTTTGAGGTGGTCCCATAATATAACCATTGAGTTGTATGGGGCAGAATACAAATCTAGGATCAGTGGCTTCTTTCCCTTTATTACTCATTCTTGTTCCCTGGATTATGGGGGTTCACAAAGGGGCCGGCGGTGCTGCTTTTAGGCAGACCTGGGGAGGCTAGTGGCCACACAAGAGTCAGGCTTCTGGACTATGCCGCAGTATTCCAAATTGGTGTTAGTGTTTCTACGCATCGCCCACCTCGCATTACCTTATTGATTTATTTAGATGTTTTATATGACTATTAAATTCACAACAGCAACAGAACATACAGACACCCAAGAAGAATAACTGAGACTACAAACAACATATTCCCATTCAAATCATTTCATTTCTGGATGGATGTATCCAGCACTCTGGCCCATTGCCTGGGGGGAAGGCTAGCATCTTCCAGAAGGCCAGCAGACCAAGAGGGTCTGAAGCAGCACTCTGTATTCAACCAAGCAACTCTGGTCTATAGCATCTGGGTTATTCCAGAGCAGCTTTTACCTGTACTTTGTGATTTCTGTCATCTGTGGCTGAGCATTTTCGTTCTCAAGCTGTAGAAAAGGGGAGTGGAAGCATTTTCCTCTCATGGGATTCAAGTTCCCGTCTCTTGCCTGGTGAGCCTTGACCCTTTGTATCAGAAAGGCCGGGTGAGACTCAGTGGGCTTTATGAGCACAGAGTTACAGACCTGCTTTTTTCCTCTACTTTATACTTGTAACAACTGCATATGAATGCCAACCTCTCGCTGGAGCAGGGTTCTACTATACTGTTAGGGCTCCTTGCATGGGAAATTTCATTCTCACACAACTGTTCCCGGTCTCCATGACTGGTGAATAGTGGTGGAATTTCCAGGGGTACATTTTAAATCATGGTTACATATTCTGCTGGTCTTTCCCCTTCCATGCTGGTTTGAATACATTCTGGGTATGCTACCTATTCTGATAGCAATGTAATGGTCTTTATTGTCACTGCTTAATTCATGTAAGACTGCATATCGCTGTGTTCATTTTTGTTTTGAAAATGTTATCTCCTAAGTTGTGGAGAGATCTGAGACTGTGTAGTGGATTTGGGCAGAGCTTTTCCTTAGTGTTTCTAAAACCTTTGGGTAAACTGCCATTTTCATCATCACAATTTTTTAAAGCATTTTATAATATCTGGGATCAAGCTGATAACGTATGACCTCAACATGATTGAATAGATAGCAAGTGGGGCAGGGGGGCAGAAAATCAAAAACCAAAATCAAATTCAACATTACTTTATAAGAAAACAATGAAATGGCAAAAAGCATGAAAAGCATTAACATTCAAGTTTCCTATACTGCTTGTCCCAAGAGCTGATGACTGTGAAGATCCCAAGGATGTATGGCTTCAAAAAAATCCTTTCTCCAAACATAGCCATTGATATGTTACTTTGATTCTTGAGTAATTCCAAGCAGCCACAGGTTCTTCATCAGGAAGAAAAATGGGAGCCCTCCTCAGGAACCTGGAAAACCGATCGTAAGATCTGCTAATTTTTGCTGAGAGTGAAAGTACTCAGTCAAGGCTGGAAGAAAAAAAATGTAGCTAGGTTTTTTTTTAAGCCCTAATTGAATAAATAAATAAGATTTTCAAATGTCACGTACGGAGAAAATATACATCAGGCTCCCTGTATGCTTTCTTTTGAGAAACTGATTGCCTCTTCACTGTGAACAAACAAGAAGCATGCATTTATTTTGAATTGGAAGAAGCTCTTGCTGCAGTCAGAGTGCTCCAGACTGCTAACAGAAGATTTCCCATTTTGGAAAAGATGAATCAACAAACCTGACCAAACATTACAAATCTGGCTAATTTCCAGTATACTGTAAAAAGGCAAGGATGGCAGGCTGGATGACAACTTTATCTGGCCCTGGAGAATTTGATTACTATGTTTTATTAGTAGCAATGTTGATAATAGTTTACCTTGAAAGAAAAGCATTTACTTGTGGAGTTCATGTACAAGTTATACTGCTACCTGGGGTACAATTCTGGAAGATTATGAACAATCTGCCTCTTGAAAGGATCTATCTAAAAGTATACTGTCCACACATTCTACAACACCTCCTGATCTGATGATCCCATCACACTGAAAAGCATGTATATCATACCTGTGAACACTTAACTACTAGCTGGTGACTAAATTTAGTTTAGGGACCAATCATATATAATTATATTGGATTTTTTTGGTTCTGAAGCAGCAGCTTGGAACAGACTGCTTATCAAGAACAACAAAGGATTTTGGGCTACATCAAGGAAGAAAAGAATCAGGAAGTCATAGCAGAAATTTTAAGTTTCCAAAGCTCCCTTTCTTGCCTAAAAGAACTAATTGTTTTGAAAGGGAACTAGTGAAGCCTTTAATAATTGGTGAAAAGAGAACAGAATGCTGTCTTTAATCATTAGTCAAATGATGCTCCATTTGTCTTTTGCTTTGAGCAAAAACTTGCCCTTGCTACTGTGCATCTTAACAAAAAGCCAACATTGAGAGTATATGAGAATATCAAATCAGTCCTGGGTTTATTAAATTTCATAATCTGCTTTTGCAGATTGGGCCTTTGCTGAACTGATATGAATAGAATATCAGCATGATTCTGAGCTACCAAATGATAAATCATAAAAAAAGTCAGATGAAATGGCTATGTGCACAATCTCTCTTTATGACAGATTCTACAGAACTCATGGATGAGAGTACCTTTGAGTAATTCCAGAAAGATTCAGAACTGCCATATTTGGCCTGTGGTGACATCATCATCATCATCATCATCATCATCATCATCATCATTTTATCCCACTTTTTTGAGATGCTGTTGATTGATCTGCAGTATCAGTGGGGTTTAGCAGACGCAGAGCTTTGAACAGCTGACAAGAAGGCAGTATGTTAAGTTTCATTTCTAAGGTCTATGATCAAGATTAGTTCCATTTAAATATTTTATTTATGTCCAGATGCCACAGATTTTCAAATGAAAATAGATTTAGAGACCGAGATATATTCACTCTTTGCAAGCTAACTGCATTGCTTAGAACATGTGTGTTCATATACTTTAGTGTGTAACTCATGCAGCCAGAGTTTTAAAATCTGCATTTGTTTTTGTTTGCTAGCAAGTGCCCCAGCCTCCCCTCGGGAAATGATCAGTTTAAAAGAAAGAAAAACAGATTATGAGTCAACTGGAACAAATGCTACTTACCATGGGAATAAAGGAGAGCACACCTCTAGAAAAGACACCATGACAGGTGAGGCAGCAATTGTATGTGATCCATAAACATTAGTAGCAGTAAACATTCTGGGCTGGAATTGGCTCTATTGGTAATCCAGACATACTTGTGTAAGCATGTTTGAAGCTTTGCACTCTGTAAAATACATTAAAGCCTTCCAGTCAAACACTGCTAATCATTTTGAGGCAATTTTTACAACTTGACTGAATTCGGTTTGTATATTTATTGAATGTCAGATTTAAACCTTTCTGTTTCAAGACTTCAAGCTCTGCACCATAATGTTTACTCTAGGAATAAAGTTTGCATCCTAATAGTATTTCCCATATAGAGAAAAAAGGTTTCATCTGATTTCATTTCCTCTTTCTCCTCCTCCTCTTCCTCCTTCCTTTAAAGCAGTGTTTCTCAGCCTTAGCAACTTTAAGATGTGTGGACTTCAACTCCCAGAATTTCTCTGCTAGCATGCTTTAAACTGAAGGATGTAAAACACTGCTTTAAACTGAAGGGTGTAAACTACTCATTGTGGCTTAATAACAATATTGGACAGCACACAAAGTCATCTCTAGCTATTGTTGTGGTTTGGCAAGAATTATAATACTGTAATTAATCCCATGCGCAGTAAATCAGTTTCTTTTTTATTTATTTTTTTACAATTCTGCATTATCTTTCGAGAATATAACTTTCTCTCTTTGACACACCCTAATTAAAAGCTTCTCCCAACAAAACTTTTTGGTATCAAGCTTAATTTTACAATTGCATTGTTTACTGGCTATTTAAGACTGTAATGTTTATACTACTTTCTGAAAAGAAGGGATGTAAAAGAGATCTATTTCTTTCATCTCAAAATAAAAGTCTTTAACATGGCACAGGGGAGAAGCAGCAGACTGAATCTGATGTCACCCAACTTCTCAGATAAAGAATTATCTAAAGCTCATAAATTGGGAAGATGACATGAAAATCAGCGTACATTTAAAATAATTTTGTTACAAAAAGTAGCTTAGAGCTAAATTGCATTTCAACCGCATGTAAGGACTCTAATGCTATCCAGATATTTCAGACTGCAGGTCCCATAATCCCCTGTCATTGGCTGGGGTTGATTGGAGTTGGACATTTGGGGACCTGAGAGCAATATATGTGGAGTGCATCAAGTTGGAAAAGGCTGATTTAATGTCATGCCTTTACTGGTGATTATAGCTTCACCCAGGTGTTCTCATTATACAATATGAGCTTCCTTACCCCTCCAGATGTTATACCTGTGACATCTAAAAGAAGCCCAAATTCTGATATCACATGTGTATACATGCAAAGGCCTCTGTGGTGCAAACAGTTGCACTTCGCACAAAAACATCATATTTTCTCCTTATGTCACCATGAGACAGAGAAGAAGAACTGTTCACCATTGCTCTGGTGGTGAAGAGAACCCTTTTCTGTAATGCTTCAAGGGATCTTAAGGAAAAAAGGACATCTGCATTGGTCTGTGTTTGGTTCCATTCATTTCTCCAAAATTCCACCATTTATCAGCCTGAATTTTCTTGGTTTTGCTGCTCTTGTGCTAATAATCAGAAATTGCTATTTTAGCAACTAATAATGTGATCATGAATTTCCAAGATATTTTTAGTGGTAGTCAGTTAAATGATGGCTGGTCAGTTGTGAAGTTCTGTAGTAGCTCACCACCTGTTCCTCACTACAGGGATAACTTTACCTTTATAGCATGGCCTCTATTAACCTCTTTTTTCAGCAGAAAAGAATAAAGAGTTATACTGATGGCTTTCTGGTGAAAATGAGAGTATGGTCACCATACTCAGAGCAAAGAGAGTTTAATTTCCTATTCATCTGTTTTTACCGTGAATATTTTAAGGAGACTAAAGCAATTCACTTAGGGAAAAGGGTAACATTTATCAATTTTGTTGACAAGCCATGGATAGGCTTGGCACGGAACCAATTTCAACCTGAAGCTATTAATTTCTCAGTGTTTTAAGATTAGTATTGAAGTACCTTCATTCTTCTTCCCAAATATGTTTTTTAAGCAGCTCACAAAATGAATAAGATGGGAAGCCAAAATAAGGCAAAACCAAAATTAGATGAGGGAGCACTGGTTTTCATGTAAGAAAGGAATGTCCCGGCCATCTGAATAGGGGCACATGTAGAAACAGGTAATGTGTAATAGGAAGTTTCCTAATAAGAACATTTGTAGGTGGAATCATCTAAACCAGGTATTTTCAAACTCTTATCTGGACACCAAACCTGTTAGTTAAAAAAAAAATTGCTTTGCCTCCCCTAGGAAGGGGGAGGTCTGAATGTGAGTTGACAAGCCCTGCTTTTTCCGCAGTAGCTTAGAAAAATTGTTATGGGTGCCCTTGGCCACCTCTAAATAAACTTTCTTTGTCCTTAGTCTCTCACATAACTTCATCAAGTTCTTGGAACACAGTTGAAAAATCCTGATCTAAACATGTATGTTGAGGGTGAAAAAGGACAAGCTGGGAAAAGACTATTTAAAAATATTAAGTTATTGAGTGTTAACTGTAGGAAACCCAAATGGATCCACAACTCTAGAATATGATGCTTGACTGAATGCTGTTGCTTTCAGTAATATTGTCTGATAATAGGAGACCAGTCTCTCAGGAGCTATCATTCTAAGCTTTTTGTTAAACAGCAATGCCGTTACATCACACCGTGACACCATGTGCTATAGTTTACCCCAGATTTCATCTAGTGGAGCCAAAGGATGAACTGAACTCTACAAGAACAATAGCTCTGGTCATATGAAGCCCCTGAGTCCTTCACTCTTCATTAGATAATTGATTCATCAAGGGGTAGAGGAACTTGTGAAGAATCAGCAAAACAGCAACCAGCATTCTGATAAGGTACTGTTCAGAATTGTATTTCAGTGTTTAAAAGCCCATTTTAGCTTCTTACCTAGTGTAAATGTACTACCACACGTTCGTTGTGCTGACTCTTTATATTTTTGATGTCTTGAGGGTACAGTTAAGCCCTTGTGTGAAGCAAACCTGCACTAGGATCTGCTGCTTTTATATCATCTTATCACTCACTACCCCTCAATGCCATGCCTGGGTTGTGTAGGGCAGGCATGTGGTTGACTGCTCCTTGCACAGATGTAAAGGCAGCCTTGCTTGTCAGAATCTAATTGGGCAATGTAGAAGGCCACACTGATATATTGCTGTAGTGTGAACAAATTTATTAAGCTGTTTCAAGCAAAGGTGGCTAGCCTATCACTTTCTTTTCTCATTTTTTAACTAGTGACTTTCTGCAGCATTTTGTTATTATACCAGTTCTTGTAATGTTTGCTTCTTTCTCTTTACCCCCTCTACCTTGCATTTTAGTTGGGTACAGAACTAATGCACAGGCAGGAGCCTCATTTTTGCCCACCAGATGGTCAAGAAGTGTCTGTGAGTCTAGACACTCAAGCCAAAACGAATGTCATCTGTAATAGCTTGTGTTGTCTGGTTGAGAACAGAGATTACAAATCTTATTTGCTTTTCCAGGCTACCAGAGCCGAGCTTGCAGCACACGGTTACCACATCAAATCCGAAGAGAAGGTGAAGACTAAATGAACAAACAATTATTCTGTTTGTGTAATGAATTACCACCTTGAAAAAGAGCCTTCAGCTAACATGAAAGAAAAGCAGAATCAACCAAACATTAAAAAATTCAATAAAGCATGATGTGAAATCTCAGCTTTGTGATCCTTTCTTTTTAAACTCTGACAGATAATTTGCACTCCATTTTTCTTTCAGGCTGCATTGTAGTTGCAGAGCCGGAGATAGGCACATGTACCCAGCTGTAAAAGTATTGATCACAGCTGCACTGTAATTGGCACAGGAGAGTATTAGGAATATGGAGGCGCTCCTGCCTTTGAACCAACTTTGGTGAGAAAAGGAAGGGAGAGAGTGGCTGCTGTAGCAAGGACTTCCAGTGGGTTGGATCCATTATTCGCAGGCCTGATGGTTGCAGTTCCCTAAGTCCCTTGAACTTGCAATTCCAATCCCATTGTAAGAACTCCTGACGTGATGTGGTCAGTTGCACGATCTCTCCAAAGAACTAGGCATTGACAGTCTTGTTTTGGTTCGACTTCATGTAATCCTTTTATAAGTCCTTCCCAACAAAAGAACACAATAGAAGTGTCAAGATTTCTTTTATATAATCATAATCAGTTTACTGGTGACACTTGTGTTTTCAAGAGCCAATCACCATTTTGAAATCAGCTAATACTGATTCCCAAACTCCTTTTTACCCACTGGGATAAGCATAAAACCAGTACTGCTTGTTTGCATTATTCCAGATACAGCTACTATATGTTGTTCAGGTTGTTGATAGTTAATGAAAAGCATTAAGGATGCCTGTTGTGGAACTGCTGCTCTCTGTTGTAACACTGGTAGCTTTAATACTGCATCAGAAAAGGAGAGCCAGTTTTGATGCTGTTATTAGCTAAGCTTATGTTCATTCTTTGAGGATTGATATTTTTTTCCAAGAAACAGGTAGTAGACTTTTAATTTAATTTTATCAGATTTTTAAAACGATGAATGGTTAAATAAATATTTTAATTAATATAGTTATTTACTGTTGAGTTTTAATATTCACACAACCACACATTTACAATGATTCCATCACATCTTATTATCTCAGCTGATTGCCAGGTATAAAGTCATTTAATGTGAGTAAACATTAATCTCATGATTTCTTACATGTAAATATTTCCATAATACACACATATGCCCACAGCTTGCACCTTGATGGGGATTTGCTGCTGGTGGACAATAAAATCTGGGGGAAGATAAAGGAACACACTTGACTGCTGGCAACCTACAGGTTAGACATTTAATCCTAACTAAACATTCACTTACAAAATAGATTGTTATATTTGGAATCTAGGCTTCAAAAACAACCTATACAAACCAATAAAATACATCACCCATTACCTCACCAAAACTGTTTGGAGAAGACTTATTCGCTCAACATTTGGATAGGAAAGGAAGTAATTCAGTTTTCGTTCTAATAACGGTTGTTTGAATACTGGAAAATTGTTTCCCCCACACCACCCAGTAGAATGACTAGCTTCCAAAACTAATAATATGTGGCTAGACATTCTAAGACCACAAGATTACTATGTGTGTGAAATATATACTGTACGTTCAGTGTAATTGTGTGATGTTCCATCTATATCAACTATAGCGACTGGCACGACTCCTTTTAAAGTGCTGTGTCATCAGACGCACTGTGTATGTACAGTCCTGTTACACCTACCCTTTCTCTGGTCTCCTCCACCAAATATGACAGTGAGGAAAGTCCAGTTTTTTGGCTGAGCATCAGAGTAGATAATACTTTAAATAAACAAAACAGAGTTTACCAGAAAAGTTCAGGAATCAAATCTCACCTGAACCATTCTGAGTGATCCAGCAGTTTGTACGCTGTATTGTGTTCTGAAAAAGTAATTTCTTATGACAGCACGATCTTCTTAGCACTGCTTTAAATTGAACATTCATACATTTATTTATGACTCTGCAAAGCACAGAATGATTTAGCAAAGGATTCCTACATAAAGCTGTTCTCTTTCCGGTGTGGTGTCATCCCTTAATCTCTGGTCTGCTAATACGTCTTGGACAGCTAGAGTCAACTGTTCATTGATGCAAGATTGATTTCACAGCTACTTTTCACTGTTCAAATGTTTTCAAGAAATCTGTATGTAGTAAGCATCAGTGACTGGCTACGGTACAGCAGAAACATTTCTAGCTTCCTAATGTATGGAAGGAATGAAGTACACACATGTTGCTCACATGTTCTTTCTTAGAGATATTCATGTGGGAATTAGTAAATCGTTGCTAATAAAGGCTTACTGAATTCACCCCATCACCACTACTAGTCCACATAACTGCCATTTTGCCTGGTAACAGAATCCCTCTTTCTCCCACTTTTAGGTCAGAACTCTGGAATCTCTACTTTGTATAGAAATTCTTATGGTGCACCTGCTGAAGATATTAAACACAACCAAGTAAGTGGCTAAATCGCTCCTTTTTGAACTAGAAAAATAAATTGATTAATGTAACTGTAATAATTTTAAAGAATCATGGTTGAAAAATTATTCAACGCTTCATTGTTCTGAACTTTTCCCAGTCTGTCCTGGTAAATGCCACATTTATCAGTAAATTATGGAAATGCAATTTATATTCAAGCACCTTTGTTATTCAGATGCATCAATACATGGCAGAAAACATTTGCATTATTACTTTTGTAAGCAAATGCCTTTCTTTATTTGCCAGTAACAGAAAAGAGAGTAAAAGCTGGGCATTTGCAAAAAGTAGTTCTTCTTGAAATCATCTGAAGTAGTCTCCTGCCAAAATTATTAAAATCTCTAATGATATGCTTCTTACATTTTCTGTGACATACAGTATATGTATGAAAAGAGAAGAGAAGAATTAGGCTGGGGGAGCTCCGTTACACAGGAAGTTGTTGAAGGATGGGATTCTGCTGAGTAGAATGTGAGAGAGTGAAAGAGAGAGACCAATATTAGAAATATATTTTTATGAAAATGGAAAAGACTGATCGCATATTTGTGAAAAGAGCTTTCAATGGGACATTGTGGTAGTTTAAAAATTCAGTTTACTAGATTTTAATGAATAGTTAAGTTCCCTCACAATTAAAAGAAAAAGGTCATCATCGCGTAGATGAAGTGACAGTAGATTAAGTACCATTATGGGGGGGGGGAGTGTTTGTTTTTTGTCCCTTCAAGTCAGTCTTGACTCCTGGTAACTTCCAGGACAAGTCCCTGCAATTTTCTTGCAACATTTTCAGAAGTGGTTTGCCATTGCCTACTTCCTAGGGCTGAGAGAAAGTCACCCAGCTGGCTTCATGCCTAGAGCGGGACTAGAACTCATGGTCTCCTGGTTTCTAGTCCAGAGCCTTTAACCATTACACCAAACTGGCTGTCATCTCCTACTTAAAAGGTGGTAGTGTTACCCTGCCCAGGGTTCTACCGTGGGATGAGTTTTTCATGTGACACTGGACTAAAGGTTTCTGCAAGTAGCTTTCTGGTCTGAAACCATTACTACTAGAGTGCAGTTAGGATTTTTTTTTTTTTTTAATGTTACAAAAACCTCAATTTCCACTCTCTGTATTTCAAATTCCATATGATCGTTTAGCTTTTTTTTAATTAGAGAAGGTAGGTGTCCTAAAAGGATAATTGTTTTGTAGATTTACAAATTATAGAACAAACAAGCAAATAAACTCATGAGCCAGAAATAGAAAGAAAAATGAATAGGATAAGTTATCATATTTGCATTTCTTTGCAAGATACCTCATGAACTTGGCTTCTTACTGAAGTTAAATATTATCACCTTTATAGTTATGTGATATATGAGGATGAAATAAGTATTACCAGTAATATGGATCAGGGCCTATGAAGAAGTATGAGGTTGGGAAGTGTGGGGGTGACCTGAAGTGAGGGGGCTTGCCCTGGAAAGAGTCCAGATGTCTCAAACAAGAGACCTGAATATGTGAATTTGACCCATGGACAAACATTCCTAAGATCGTTTCCCTTCCCATTCTGCAATCTGAGATACTGGACCCAAACATATTATTATTTATAGAAGTTTAGTGTGAAGTCTCCAGAGCCTTATCACTTTAACCCTTTTTTAAGGAAAACTTCTGTTAAAAGTGGTTGCAAATACACAAGTAAATGCAAATGCAAAGCACCCTTTAGAGAAAGACCAAGCTGTGACATTCATCCAGGAAGGCTAAGGTGTTTTCCGTAGCAGCTGAAACGTGGGTAGCATTCCCCTTGTCCGCTTCACAAGCCCCCCCGAAGTGGAACCTTGCTCTGCGTTCTAAATGACACAGCAGTTTGTTTCCCATCCTTACAGTCTTCCCTAACAAGCCGAGGCGTCTTATTCTGTTGATAGGTTTCAACACAGCCCGTCCCACAGGAGCCCACGAGAAAGGAATACGAACCATATCAGCCATTTCAAAATTCAACCAGAAACTATGATGAGTCCTTCTTTGAGGACCAAGTGCATCATCGCCCACCTGCCAGCGAGTACAATATGCACCTGGGACTCAAGTCCACTGGCAACTACGTCGATTTCTATTCTGCTGCTCGGCCCTATAGCGAACTCAATTATGAAACAAGCCACTATCCAGCCTCTCCAGATTCCTGGGTTTGAGATCTGGGCGAGAAGAAAGAAGAGGTCCAGGAATTGTGCATGTGCATGCATATCACGAGACATTCTTTTCCTGCAAATTTAGTTTGTTAAAGCCTGTTCCGTAGGAAGGCCCTAATACTCAGTCTGGAACAATTAAGGGATCTTTAGGTGGCTAAGAGAATGGGAAGCTAAGCGTGGGAGTGTTAATTAGAAAGAGTGCGATGTGTATCTATTTCTGTATCTATAGAATCCTGTCTCTTAAATATAGATATAGAAATATATGGGGGGCGGGGAGGGCAGCTTTGCAGTTGACCTTGTAATGTAGAGGTTGAAACAGATAGTACTGTACACTGAATGTGGCTGAAGGAAGTTAGGGAAGTTGAAACCACCGAAGTGAGTCCAGCGTTAAGCACAAGAAAACGAAGAGTTTACAAACCTTATGGGGGACAGCTTCTCACCCTTTGTTTCTTCATCCATTGTGAATCTAGGCTTCAAGTTGCATTTGGGATTTCCTCTGTACAGCAAGATGTTTCTTGCCTTTTGTTAATGCATTGTTGTAAAGTATTTGATGTACATTACAGATTTAAAAACCAGAGAGAGAGAGAGCGAAGTGCATTGTGTATATTACACCAATGCCACAGTGTTTCTTCATCTATGGTTCTAAATATTGCTTCAATTACACAACTTTGAAATATGTATGAATTTCCAGGGGTAAGGGAGGGGTTTCTTTTCTTTTCTTTTCTCTTTTCCTTTTCTTTTCTTTTTTCTTTTCCCCAGTGCGTTTTAACAGGAGAAAACAAAAACTGATATTTAGCAGTATTGTTCGTTCTGATATGTGAATTTGTTTGTGGCAACTAAAAAAAAGGCATTCAGCAGTTTCTGACAATTAACATTCATCATTCCACACTCCTTGTCAACAAAGTGCTTTTTCACTGCCTAAAATTTTAGATGTAGATATTTGAAATAGATTTTTTCATTTATACCAGTTTTCTTTATGATGATACAGTGTTAAAAGAAAATAAATTACAATTGATCTGTCATCCATATTTGCTAAGAATGTCTATTTCCAAGATCCTTAATCAAAATATACATTCTTGCTCATGTATGTACGTATGTATGTGTCTGTCCTCACCGTGTGTGCATACTATTTTGTGTGTATGTTTGTGCAACATAAAACAGTGTTCCATCATGGTGTTGCCAGACATAATAGAATTCTGTTTTGTGTATAAGAATCTGGTGGCCTTCAGATGAAATGCAAGACCTTTTGCACGCTCATACACAAAAAAACAGGTGTATAGGCTTGCTCAGCGTAGCAATACATTCAGCTGTTGGTTTCAGTTTGCTTCTGCTTTGGGTATGGAAGGCAGTATTATAGATGTTGCTAATATCTCAAACCAAAATGTTGAATGAGAGAGTATGTTTTGCACTAGTACAGTTGTTTCCCCAGTCTGGCAGGGAAGGGAGATATGCTCTGCTGACACTTCTAGCAAGGAAAGCAAACTACGGCGGGAAGGCAGGAGATGCTACGTAGATGCTGGAGCTTTGCATTATTACAGCAGCCCCCTCAATGGAAGATGACGCCTGGGGCATTACTTGAGATGCTCTGCTGACTCCAGAGCAAACCAGTCTACCAGAGGAGTAGGCAGAATTTCCTAGAAAGATCAGAACATGGTGATGGGTTCTAATTTCTGTCCATCTCCAAAGAGTATATAGAAAATACCAAACACTTTTGTCCATTTTAAACACCTGCCTAAACAAATTTAACAGAGGAAGATGGGAGATGCCTGGTCTATCGTGTGAGAAACATTGGTAAGTATAAGCAATCCTCTGTAGCACTTTCACAGGGTATTATCGTCATTCTCTTTCACCCTGTGATGTAATGCATCACCCTCATGCGTGAAGACCACAGCCACAGGGCTTCAACATTTGACACCAGCAGTATCCTGGATGCAACATTGCCCATGATACAGAACAATAACAGTAATCTCTGATTAGCCAAATTGTTTGAGGCAGACCAGAAAATGGTAGGAGAATCAGATGTTCAGCTATCTCAGTACTAACTGTTGTGAGGTTAGAGTGACATACAATGAACGCATGCTATGAAATTAATCTGAATTACTTTAATTTCTGGTAATTGATGGTCAAGAGATAGGACCTGCAGGAAGGGATTCTTTTGAAAGAGTCATTTATCTAGGTTTCAAGATAAATTTTGTTTTTTAAGAAACAAAGGCATTTGTAAATCAATAAGAATAGTTTCAGCTTTGGCAATCTTTTATCACTGAGTGACTAAATATTTCTGAGTTGTTAACTGTTAGAACAGATACAACAGAAACAAAGGCATATCTTGTACCATAAACAGGATTTGCTGGTCATTTTAGTGTTGTGATTTTTCAGGCGAATTTTTCTCTTTAATGGTGAGCAGTTGCCTCTCTCCTTTTATAATAAATTGAGAAAAAACCACATGGGCAAGTTAGATAGAAGGGCTTGGTGGACATATATATATGGGGACGCACAGATATGCACTCCATTTGTATTTAAAGTATCTAAGTGTTATCAGAATTATCAAATCTTTAAAAATAACAAATTACTGAATTAAAATTTGAGTCTTGGCATCTGGTACATCCCTGTGTTTGGTAGCATTTTGTATAATAGCCATGCAGACATTTGTTTGAAATGAAGGGGCGGCTGGAGTCCAGATGCTCTATTGGTTGCCTACTTAAGGTCTTGCGACAACTGGGCAGCAAATGTCACAGCAAGTGATGTGAGCCCCCTAATTCCACAGCACCCTCCATTTCTGCTAGGCAACTTCTCACCCTGAAGTCTCCCAGGAGGACTTCATAAGCTACCTCTAATGTAGCACAAGGGGCTGCATTAGTTGAACTCTTGACCACTGAAGCTTTTCCAGAGTCTATTGTGTCTGCCATTACTAATACACAACCAAAAGTCACCAACGTGACAGGAACAATTTTGGAAACTTGACTGGGTTTTTTTTTTCCCTCCAATGAGAATATTGACCCACAAACAATTTGAAAGATGAAATGTTTTCTGTCAGTAGTCTTCCTGTATAATGGTCTGGGTTAGGGAGTGGGACCAGCACCGAAGGCTAAGCCCTCAATCTGCATAGCATGAGAGTGAAACCAAAATAGTTCAGCCACTACCTCTCATGAACAAGTGCAGGTCACTGTAGAAACCACCTGCAGTATCCTGGGATTTTGTCCAATCATGGATGCTCAAAAATCCCTTGCAGTCAAATTTGTGAACAAACAGCTAGAGAAGGTAGTATTTTATTTATGTATCTCTGTCTTTTCTCCATTCTTATTCCTACAACTACAAGTGTGTGAGGTAGATTAGGCTAAGAGAGAAAACAACTGGGCAAAAGTCACCCAATGAATTCTCGTCATTAAGAATAGTTAAGATGTTAGAAGCAGATCTAAGTTCAATCTTCCCAGTCTTAGTTCTACAACTTAACTGCTCCACTACATTGTGTCTCTGCCTGAAAGGATCTAATAATTGAAGGGGAAGGCTTGATAAGACTTTCCCCCCTAACTTAAGGCTGGGTGTATGGCCAGAAATTCAAAGATAGTATTCACGCATCATGCTTAGCCAAAACCAAAAAATATTAGGGCCTAAGTACAAAATAAGAAGCTAGCCTGAAGTGCAAGCTGGAAAAAAAATCTGATAAGAGCGCCTGACAAAACATACACAGCTGGATAATTAAATTGTTGAGGAAAAATAATGGCTAAACTCATATACTAAGCCTATACTAACACTAAGCCAGAAGTTGCTTTAAGCATGGTTTGTTGAACAGGTCTTGCAACAAGCAAAATAATCATAGCTTGTTCTGCCAATTTTTTCCCCCCTTCTTTCAGTGTCCAGATGTTAGGAGATGTAAAGGATGGTTATGTTTGTGGTGATATGATTTTTGATGCTGCAAGGTTCACCATGTGTTTACATGAGGTTGGGGGGATTTCTTGTGTATGGATCATTTTTGTTGGGTTTGTGAGAGTTTCTTTAATAGGTTAGAAGTCTTGTGTATTTTTATAGTTTTGTTTTGCTTTTGTGAGGTATTTTGGTGGGGAGCTGTATGTGTGTTTGGGGGGTTTTCGTGGTGTGATTTATGTGCGTGTGTGTGCGTGCATTTATGGAAATGTATTTGAAAGGGTTTTAGGAGGCAGATAGCTGCTCTTGCCTTGCACTTCTGTTCATTAGTCAGACAAAGTAGAAGCAGCAATTTAGGAATAAGCCAGGATTCTGGGTTCAGACATCACAATAAGCCCTGATTAAAATGAACCAAGGGGTTTCACATTGTGCTTAGTCACCAAATAAGCCATGGATTGTTGCTTGGGGTGAGTTCAGATGTTCAAATAGAAATAGGCAAAACAAATCCTATCTTATTGTTATGGGCAAATAATAATTTCCAATGCATGTATGTGTTGGAATTACTCAAGAGAAAATTGTAAATGTGAATGTAAAAGGTAGGTTATGCAATAGGCATAAATCAAACTGGCAGCTTCAACTAGATAACATTTGAGATAGATTTATATTTTCTGATTTTTCTGTCTAAACATTTTAAAAGCTTTATTGGCATTTGATTTCCCACTCCAGCTTATTTTTGTTCTGCGGTAGCAAATATACTTACAGAGGGACTTTCAGCAGTGAATCCTGAGATTCCGCTGAATTGCCAAAACCATGTTCCAGTTGGACAAAGCCAAACCTTCCCTCCTACCCATCATCTAGTGAACCTTTTGTTTTGCTTTTCGCTGTTTTTTCAAAAGGAAGAAATGTACCATACACCTTCGTTTTCTTCAGTCAAGTAGTAGCTCCTAAAAAAGAGGGATTTAAAAATGTATAAAATGTATTTGCTGTACTGTAAAAATGTTCGGTTTTTAAAGCAAACCATATTAGACTCTTGATCACTTGTGTAGATCTCAATATAAAAGTTCATTGTTTTACTAAGATGCTCTTTATGATCCAAAAGAAATGGCTTCACTATTATAAGACTATCAAAGCTGCACTATCAGAAGCAATATTAAGTTTAAAAAGTGGACATTTCCAGAATAAAATATTACTTAAACCATATGAACATTGAAACTATGTTTTGGTGATGTACAAATTCCCAAAAGTTAAATAAATGTTGCCAGGTAAAATGGCAAAAGGATTAGAATAATATAATAAGAATTAATGGAAACACTGTTTCAATGTACGTGTTTCTAGCATGTACTGAGATTTTCTATCAATAAATCCTGCCGTACTGTGGAGAATGGCTGTTCATAGTGCAGGATGTAAAAAGATAAAATCAAGGGCATATATATACAACAGTGACCTAGGATGAGGGAAAGACCTCACATATGTCCAATACTTTTGGTATCTAAAAAGTTAGTAGACTCTATCAATCTCATGAGAGGCAAAACACCATTTTTCAGAACTTTCTGTCACCCTCCATCCGAACTACTCTAGTAGACATAATACACCTGGGCTGTTAAATTATTGTTTTAGGTCAGGGATAACCAACATGTGCTAACTGACTTGCATCTTCTGCCAATACTAGCCAGGACGATCCATGGAAAGAGTGATTGGAGGTTTATTTTCCATGGAAGAAAGCATGGAGTGGTTGCTTTAAACACAAACTATGGCTCATTTCAACACAAGAATTCTTATTCTTAAGCTTTTGAAAATGTGGGATTAAGTACATTAGACTGTACCTTCAATTATATTCAGTAGTATGATGGGGGGTTTTAATTCAAAGCACATAACAAAGATTCTCTCTAAAAGCTCAGCAAAACATATTTATTCTTCTTCCTTGTCTCTTCAACCTAGTCTTGTAAACTAAAGGTAGCTCAATTAAAAAAAAACACAAAAACTCTTACAAGTGCTTCATTTGATCCTTTACCCAAAGGCTTTACTTAGTAATCAAGCATGAATTCCACTCTTGCTGCCATAGTTAAAAGAATGTGATGAAAACCTGAATATTTATGAGTAATATAAAGCTTCTCTTTTATCTTATGTCATGCATGTCCCAAGTAGCTATCTTAGAGAAATAGCTTTTTTTTTACTTCCTTTTTTTCAAATTGTACCTGGCTTTTTGCCCTTCGGGACAATTCACTCTTCCTTAGCTTATTGACTAAATCTTATCTGAAGACAGGATTTGAGGGGGGGGGGGATTTCTCATATCACACAGCAGATTCTGCAGATTCTTCCTCAGAAGGAACTGCAGACCTCTATGTTCCTGGAGGTAAATCTGTTGAAGGCCAATGCTGGTCAGGACCTACTGCTTTCAGTCTACCTAAAGTGATGAGCTGGGCCTTGCAGAACTTTGCAGAAGAGCTGGTATTACTCAAATGCACACCTGATTGGACCTTTCACCTCATCCAGTCTAAGCCCCCCATTGTTCAGCATTAGCCTGAATTGCCAGCAGGTGTTCCTTGCACAGAATATTCGTCAGCAGACGTAACTTGCCTGAAGGTAACAGTGAGGAAAAGTCTTGCGGAGGACCAGAGTGACCTTTTCTGAGAAGTTGGACAAGAAAAGCAAGCAGAGTAGGTAAGATCTAACTGTCAGAAAAAAGTAAAGGAACAATAAGGCTTTAGAAGATGCTGCTTCTTTTCACAATATGTCAGATGAAAAGGTAGGTTGCGTGTCGGGGGGTGCTGCAGCCAGAGATGAGAGCCAGCAGGCTCAATTTCTTTCCCTTTTATATCTCCCAAAGAAGCACCATTGAAAAACCTCAAGGAAATGACACATTTTGCTAAAATGAGGTTGTATTATGGGGTTTAATTTGTGGATTATGTTACAACTCTTATTATCTTCCCATACTCCAAAGACTGGCTCAAACAAGAACTTCATGCCATAGTATCTATCAAATATCTTAAATTCTATATTCATAGGTAGCAAGAAAATATTGTGGCAGACACAAAGTTGTACAAAACAATGGTGTATGTGTGTGTGTGTGTGTGTGTGTATTTAAGAAGAAACAGAATGCCATCTAAGTGTATAAGAAATAGAATATCAACACCAATGGGTACTAATAGCATTAGACCTAAGAGGGGGACAGAGAGGCTATTTTCAACCCTATCTATTTCTCACCTTCCCTCTTCATGGCACCAGAAGGGTTTGGCCTTCCCTCTGCCAATAAAAATACAATTGGCTGATACAAGCTACCTGAATTCTTAGATTAAGAGCATTATAATTAGCAAAGGTTTTAAGGATTAAGAACTCTGGTAATTTAGAATAACTAGGTTAATGACTGTAGTACTTGGATCTGGAACTTATCAGGGATTGTAATGCCCCCAAGTGCCATAAATAAACATTTAGACTGCAGAGTGCAAAAAAAAACCCACTAAGAATTGTTCTAATGCTAACACAGGTGTCTTGATTTCCTTTCAAATTTTTTAAAACTTCTGAGCAGAAATTACCAACCTCAGTTATAATTTGGGTGTAGATCTATTCCTGGAATGATGCAAGGAAGCATGT